AAGGTTTTCATAAGTTAGAATTGCTGCTTTTCTGGTTAAATAAAGAAGTTTAGTTTCAGTTTTTTTATTATAATTTTCCCTCTTTTTTTTACTGGTTTTGGGCGCCTGTACTGGTCAGAACCCAGTACCCAAACAGGCAGCAGACGTAACCAAAGATCTGGATACTGAAAGTTAAAAGGGCTAAAATGCTTCTTTTTTTTCCAACATTGATTAATTTTACCAGAATAGAAGAGGAAAACATTTCTCGACAGCCTGGTAATCGCCATGGTAACTAGTAGTCATAATACGGGATGTTTTGGTAGCGGCCTCGGTCCGGTTGGATTCACAGAATAAAGGCCTCAGTAGAACTGTTGCCTGGACTCGCTCAGCGTCGGTTGACTCTCCCACTTCCTCCGCTCCTTAAAACTCTGCTGTCTTTGTCCTTCACTGCTGGCTGTAATCTGCTGGATGAGAAGGTTTCACGTTTCCAAACATTTACCTGAACACGTCGTCTCAGCATGGCCGCCGTTCACGGCTGAATGGAGCTGAAAGGCCTCCGTAACCGAGACCACAGAAGTCGGACGCGCATGTTTGAGTCCAAAACACCATGAAGGAAAAGTTTTCTCTGCAACACTGAGACTTTGTGATACGAAATGCTTTTAAATTCAGATTGTAACCCAAAATAAAGTTATATATCTTTAAAGGAGTATTTCAAATCTTTGTTTGTAGAGATAAATGTTTTAAAGGTTCTTTAATATTTTAGGCAGGACTTGATTTGTGAAACATTTCAGCATATTTCAGACGCCTGGTTTCATATTTATTTAAAGTTTTCCTTTGATTACTGAATACATCCAAAGGTTAAATAGATTTAAAGTCAAAGGGAAACGGCTGTTAACCTGACTCCGCATATCCATCTGGAAACCTTCCGTTGAAGTAATTTTGGGAAGGGGCGAAAATACTGGTTAGCTGATTGGCCTATGTTGGTGATAGACGGGCCAAATAAACCAATCAGATCAACGAAGCATATGACGTACTAACAGAGCGACGACGAAGAGGAGCCAATTGATAGATCAAACTCTTGCCGAAACCAGTCGGGAGAAGAGCAAAAACATCTTTTCCTCTGAGAAAAGCCTCCAGAGCAGTGTTTTGCTCTTCTTTCAGTGAAGAAATACTCTGTAATTCCCATAAAACTTGCTCGATAGCCACGCTAACGCTAGTTTCATCGGCTGAAGCCGCCATGTTCTTTAGACTGAACTGTGGCGCTTCTCGTTGCGTCACACCTCAACCCGCCTCAAAGCCAACGCTGATTGGACGTTCGTTTGGTGAACGGCTCCAAATTTTCTTTAACGGAGAGTCTCCAGACTGATCTGCGAGGGAAACCTTGAAAGCTCGCGGGATCAGGATGGTCTCACCAGGCTAAACGGCTGTTACAAACGTTTCTGAATTCTCCCGAGTGTTGCACGACTTTACACGAGTGAATGAAGTTTTTTTAATTGTGGGACAATTTCGTCTGATAAAGAGAACATCTATATCCACGTTTAAGCCAGAATGATTTGACATTTAAATATGATTTCCCTACAACTTTAAGCCTTTATCTTTTATTTTTTACTGATCTCATCTTCAATTTTACCATATTCCAATGCAGTAGAAGCCATTCAAAATTTCCAAACTTTCCTTGGCTGGTCCCCTACAATTCCTTTTTAAACATCTTAAATATTCTTTCTGTCATGATTTGTGGACATTAAGATCTAAAGAGAAGCGCCATCTGCTGGTCAGACCCTGTAATTCAGTGCAAGGGCGGAGTCTGATTAAAAAAATACAGGCCCAGGAGAAGGCCAGTGGCTGGAAGTTGGAGGGGATTCTGCTGCCATTTGACTGGGAAAGGCCATTTTGAATGGCTGCTAATGTATATTCCATTTCCAATAATTAATCAGACTTTATTTAATTGGTGCTTTCTGTACAGGAATCTGCTGAAAGTGGTATAAAAAACGAATCAAGAAACAAACCAAAATTTACAAACAAATGAACAGTTAGAGCAACGAGGAGGTGAGAAAATGCAGCACAGTAGAAAGAACTGAGCTAGATAATAAATATAATCAAGTTAAATGAATAGAGAGATCAGGAACTATTTTCTTTGGTTTTTATAAAACTTTCCATTTAGAACCACTGGGAGGTTCCTAAAGCCGGGGATACTCTGTACGACACTGTACGATTCTCCAGTCGTGCGACAATTTTTTGATCGGGCATCATGTAGTGTACAGAGGGTAAAGAGGGGCAATCAGCCTCTTACGACCATCGCCCCATCAGGAATCGTACAGTGTGAGCAGGTAGATCGCATCAGAGCGTCGGGTCGTGCAGCGTGAGAACAAACATGGTGAGCTGGGAACTTTTAAACCATGAGGTTTGGTCGTACAGTTTGAGCTGTAGCTTTAAAGTGTTCTCCCGGCTTTAGGCCAATTGATCGGAACATTTCCCTCAGTTGAAGCATTTAGCATGCTGTGGTGAGTTTCCCTTCATCAGTGCAGTAGTTGCACAGTTCTTGAGATTAAGAAATCACTTAATCAGGGTGTTGCTGATAGCCTGGTGAGACCATCCTGATCTCGCGAGCTTTCAAGGTTTCCCTCACAGATCAGTCTGGAGACTCTCTGCTAAAGAAAATTTGGAGCCGTTCACCAAACGAACGTCCAATCAGCGTTGGCTTTGAGGCGGGTTGAGGTGTGACGCAACGAGAAGCGCGACAGTTCAGTCTAAAGAACATGGCGGCTTCAGCCGATGAAACTAGCGTTAGCGTGGCTATCGAGCAAGTTTTATGGGAATTACAGAGTATTTCTTCCCTGAAAGAAGAGCAAAACACTGCTCTGGAGGCTTTTCTCAGAGGAAAAGATGTTTTTGCTCTTCTCCCGACTGGTTTCAGCAAGAGTTTGATCTATCAATTGGCTCCTCTTCGTCGTCGCTCTGTTAGTACGTCATATGCTTCGTTGATCTGATTGGTTTATTTGGCCCGTCTATCACCAACATAGGCCAATCAGCTAACCAGGATTTTCGCCCCTTCCCAAAATTACTTCAACGGAAGGTTTCCAGATGGATATGCGGAGCAAATCCATCTGGCGGAGTCAGGTTATGTTGCTGCAGTATTTGAGGAAAGGTTGAGTGGATGCAGTAGCATTAGCACGTTTGTGTATAAGGGCTATGTTTAATGCATAGTCGCGTCTTTTTTTTAATAGCACCTTTATTATGTAAAGACAAGATGTATAAAATGTAGCAATATTCCAGGAAGAAGATGAAGAACATCCATCGCAAGCTGAGAACTTTTAAACCCTGCCGTTTAGTCGTACAGAGTGAGCTGTAATGCGTGCTACGATTGAAAAAAAAAATCGTACAGCGTACGCCCGGCTTAAGGTTCTAACAGGACCTTCACCAGACAAATGGAGGGTTCTGGAAGTCCAGAAGGACCAAAACAGAAACAGGACGGAACGAGATCCTTTAGTTTGGTAACGATAAGCTCAGTTTATGGAGGAGCTGAAGTGGTTTTAGGAAGAGCAGAAAGCGTCAATCATCTGTTCTAGAAGTAAAGCCTGGAAACAGCAGAGCTCTGAAAACATGAGCTTCCATTAGACTGATCCGTGTTTGACATTAAAACCAGTTTATTAAACAAACTAATCCTGATAATCAACCTAAACATGAAGGGTTTAACAAGCCGCTCCATTCAGGTCATCAAATTAACACAAAGAGAAACAGAAAGAATGAAAGGATGAGATTTATTATCAGACCAGAAGGACGAGGAGAATCAGTCAAACTAAGTCCTTCGTTCCAAACTCTACAATCAGCCTCTAAATGACGCGGCCATCATGGCGATTATCCGTACGGGGGGCTGGGGTCCTGATGTGGGGGATGGGATGGGATGGTTGGCGTGTCTCATTCAGGAGCAGCTCTGTGTTCAGGGCAGAAAGATGAGCGAAAATCAAAACACCGAACACAAAGCAGGACACCTGAATGCAGCACCTCAATAGACAAAGACCCCAGATTTTCAACTAGAATCTAACAGTGTAGAACCTTCTGGAAAATCCTCCATGAACCTGAAGAAAACCAACCAGAAACAAACATCCCATCAGAACGGTTCTGTTCAGAGCAGGAGAAAAGCAGCCATGTTGGTCAGGGAGGGTCGGATCCAATCGTCTCACATTCTGAGGCTTTTATGGAGCAGCGGTTTATTTCTATAGATCCAATTCACATCATGTCATCTCAGGTCACTTTCCAGATCACCAGATCATCCAGTCAGATTGATTCAAAGTTTTCTATCTAAGGAAAACCAGCTGATTGCATCAACTCATTGACTCTTCAGCAATCCCTCACACTAAGCATGCTTGTAGCGACAGTGGAGAGGAAAAACTCCCTTTGCACTAGAAAAAATCGAAATCTAGAGAAGTCATTTTTTTCTTAAAATAAGTGCATTTGTTCTTGAAATGAGTAGGTAAAATAAATTTTGCATTTAAAATAATAAAACACAATTCCATTGTCTTATTTCAAGTGCATGTTATCTAATTATCTTGTTTTAAGGGTAAAATACTCATTCCATTGGCAAACTATTGCATTTATCTACTCAATTTCAGGGTAAATACAATTAATTTAATACATTTTCACTTATTCCTAGATCCTTTTTCCAGTGTGAACAGGAAGAAACCTCCAGCAGAACCAGGCTCAGTGTGAGCGGCCATCTGCTGAGGCCCACTGGGGTTCAAGGAGACAGAAGCAGACGTAGAAAAAGAAGCATAGATACAAAAGGCAACTGTCAACCAGCTCCACAGGCGGCCCCGTCCAGGAAACACACAGCCAGGCAGACGAGCTCCGAGCCAGCTCCCATGTCAGAGGATGAAGAGAGCACATCCAGTTAGTCACAGTCAGAGAAACAGGACTACACTGGAAAACAGGCCAAGCTCCAACATCTAGGAGTTTAAAGACGAGTCGGACCAACATTTACTACAAACAAACTTTACTGAAATTATGTGAATGACATTTTAATCCAAACAGGTCAGTCTGTGACCCCAGAACAAAAAACAGAGCCATAAAAACACACATTTTATTACTTCACTCTATAAGTAATCATGTTCAGTTTTAGACAAATTAATTTTGTTAAATGGTATTTAGATATGTCATTCACAAGTTGAAGCGGTTTTTATTTGTTTAATTTATTTATTTACAGTGTAATGTTTTAGAAAACCATAAAAGTTACATGCTGGTGAAGATTCTCAGGTCATAGTCATTAAAAACAAAAAGCTAATGAGCAATCCCCTGGACTTTGTTTCCATGTTTGAAGATGTTTCGCTTCCCATCCAGGAAGCTTTCTAATCATCTTAATTTCCTTCCCCTCAGTAATGTGAGTTTATTGGGATCACAGACTGTGGTTGAGGTTCAGACAGAATGGATGCTGTGTTGCGTGTGAAGCGGTGGAGCAGCGGGACGCTGTTTTTTGGACGGCCCGTGTCTCCGTGTCCGGGATTATTCTGGTCAGCGGCCTTTGAACCTCTGTGCTGAATGACGGCTAATCTGCCGCTCCTTTCGGGTCGCAGCCAAACAAAGTGCTTCAAAGGTCATTAAGGCTGAGGTCGCTCCACTTTGGGTAATCCTGGAGCTGCAGGTGCAGAAAAAAAACAAACATGGTCGACTTCCAAAGGAGAACGTCGAACTTTCTCCATCTTCACTTTACAATTAGCAGGACTGATTCTCACTGAGAGTCTTTGGTTTACGGGAGAAACATGATCAGAGACGAACTTTCTCCTCAAAAATGTTCTTCATGTTGGAGAATCTTTAGATTAAAGTACTTAAACTAATTTTTCTTTTAATAAATGAAAATTTGTTTGTTTTTTTAACATTCCAGGTGTTTTTCTAATCCAAGTTTTTCTACGCATGAAAAACAAGCTAGAAATAAGTAAAAATGTCTTAAATTAAATGTATTTACCCTTGATGTGAGTAGTTAAATGAGATAGTTTGGAAATGGAAGAGATGTTTTTATTTTTAAAATAAAATAATTAGATAATATGCACTTGAAATAAGACAATTCAATTGTGTTTTCTTATTTTTAGGGTAAATTGTCTTGTTCCATTGGCAAAGTATCTCAATCGCCTCCTCAATTCAAGAACAAATGCACTTATTTATAAAAAGATATATAAAAAGACTCTTAGATTTAGATTGGTTCCAGTGTTTGGGCATGTAATTATTCACATTTAGTGACTTTAACACAATTATTTTATGTCCTACCCTGCTAACATGAAACAGTTGTGTTAAAGTAAGTAAAACTGATTAAGTAAAAACTGCTGCATTGTTTTTTCAATGTGGTTGAAGCGGGATAATTGGTCTCCAAACGCTGCAGCTCCTTCCTTAGAAAGCTGTTAAACATCTTTATCCCTCCTCACATAAACCCACCGGGTGATTCCTTCTTTAAAACGGGTCATTGGGCCACATTATAATTTGGTTCCTCACTGGAAAAGATCTAAATCTAGATGAGTCATTTTTTTTAAGTGAGTTTTTCTTGGATTGAGGAGCTAAAAGAGACATTCTGCCAATAGAACAAGAGAATTTACACTAAAAATAATAAGGAAAAAAAAACAACAATTGCATTGTCTTATTCCAAGTGCATATTATCTAATTATCTTATTTTTAGATTAAAAATACTCATTCCTTTGGCAAACTATCTCATTTAACTGCTCAAATTAAGGGTAAATACATTGAATTTAAGACACTTTTACTTATTTCTAGATGGTTTTTCTAGTGTATTAGTGCCACTGGGACATTTTGTAAATTTCCCCTAATTTTCCTCTTAATTTGAGCAGGTAAATAAGATGATCTTCCTACTCTTACAATAAGATAATTAGATAATATACACTTTTATACACAGTTTATTGTTTTTTCTTATTTTAAAAGTACACTGGAAAAAAATCTAGATCTAGATAAGTCATTTTTTCTTTAAATAAGTGCATCTGTTCTTGGATTGAGGCGGTAAAAGAGACATTTTGCCAATAAAACAAGACAATTTACACTTAAAATAAGAAAACACAATTACATTGTCTTATTTCAAGTGGATATTATCTAAATATCTTATTTTAAGAGTAAAGATACTCATTCCAAAATTGAAATTTTGAATATAATTAAAGAAAAATTGGAGTCTTTTTTTTTATGTGAATTTTTAAGTGCATGAGTGCATTTTCCTTAAATTGAGTAGGAAACTGAGACATTTTGAGACATTTAAAATAGGTGAAAAACAACTGCATTGTCTTGTTTCAAGTGCATTTTATTTAATTATCTTATTAAATTGTCTCTTAACTTTTTAGGCTAAATGGTTTTAATACTTTCTGAAGTTTTAGTCGTTTTTCCAGAAACAAAAACTTTAATTCAAAAAGTGATTTAACTGATTTAAATCTGCGTTTCTGAGCAGATCTCATCAATCTTTGATGCCTAATTTAAAATTAAAGCCATAAGCGACTAATCCCAGGAAAATAATTTCATTGTCCTTCCAGAAAAATGTGAATTTACTTTGAAAATCTTCTAAAAGCAGTTCCAGACCAAAGATGAACTTTTCTTTACGGGAGACCAGGAGCCACAAACCTTTGATCTAAAGCGTTAGACGGTTATTCTGTAAAAATCCTGACAGTCGTTCACTGGATGCCTGAACGAACCGAAACATAACAAAAAAAAAGAGTGAAATGTAACGAAGATTGAGGAAACTAAATAAGAAAAACTTTAAAAAATGAACACAGAAGAGAATGAATGAGTTTAAAAGTTGGTTTATGGTTCTGAATATAGATTTAAAAAAGCCAGAATTATTATTGATCTGCACCATATGTGTTTTATTATTATAAAATCTAGATTTAAAAAGGTGAACAACAGCTTAAAAGATTTAGATTTTAATTCATTCAAAAACAAAATTTAATTTAGTTTTTACACAGATTTCTGCCTAATAATTCCTTCTTTATGGGATAAATTTTAAATAACTTTTTTATTAAATCTGTTTTTCCTTTAGTTGATTTAAAGAGAAACAGGAAAAAAAAAACAGATGAAGTGATAATCTTTAATTATTTGGAGCAGAAGGTTAGAAGCTGTTGCTGTCGCTCCGTTATTCGCAGAATTAAATGAATTAACATCAACAAGTTCAGCGTGTTTGGATTATCTGTTATTAAATTAGAGAATAAATAAAATATTAATAAAAAGATATACAAAGAATCCAGCTTTTTCTGTGTAGGAAAACTAATTGTGAATACTTTTACTACATTATTTAACAAAAACTACATTAAATAAATACATAAAACTGCTGCTAAACTAATAGAAACTTGCCTTCAGGTAAGTTTTTAAAATGGAAAGGTTTATGGCAAGCAGCTTTAGCATTTAAAAAGGTAGAAAATCCTGTTCTATCTGAATCTACGAAACGTCACCAAATACAAATAAAAGTTCAAAACAACCTGAAAGAGTCAAAGTTTTAATCAATTGAAAAGTTTATTAAAGTTGAAGAAAGAAAAAGCTTATTATTTTTAAAAGCATTTTAATAGCAAACTTTTTAGAGAAACTTTGTAAAACATTTAAGGTTCAGTTCAGTGCGTCTGCAAAATCCGCATTTATAACGGCTGTTTGACAGTTATGATGGTTTCAGACACTTTTTTTATTTTTTAGGGATTTTTTTAAAGGATGAAACAAACAATAATTGGTTGTTATTATCTTCTAACAGCAGCTTCTGCTTCTGGAGGAAAGGAAACAACAGAAAGCTGAAGATCCACGGCTGGACTGGAAGCTCCTCCTGCAGCTTTGACCCATTTCAGCATTTTAGGATTTTTGTTTTTCCACATAAATCAATGAAAACAACCAGTGGCAGAGATCCAGTGGAAAACAAGAAGACTGGGAGCCGTTAGACGACCAGTTCACTGTGTTACTGGAACCATAGAAACCAACGGAACAGGCTTTAAAATTTAGATTTAATGTGAAATAAAGATAAATTCCTTCATTTAGTGATCGAGGCTCAACAGGTTGAATTACGTTTATTTAAAGGAGGGTTTATTTGTTCAATTTAATTACCATATAAATAAAAATATTCAACATTTTCTTCATATTAAAAATAAAAATGTATTTAAAATATAAAACAGCCCTAATTGTTCATTTTAGATCCTTATTGTGGATTAAAGATTTCAGCTGCTTTTTAAAACCAATTCTGTTCATTTTTACTTCCTGATGAACTTTAAAGCTGAATTCTCTGTTTCACTGTTTAAATGGTTTATAATTTAATTCTTCCACATTTTAAACTGCGCTCATAAATATATTTAATTCTTGAAAATTAGAAAAATAGCAGAAAGAAAACTTTATTGACTTTTACTGACTTTATTTTATAGGACAAATTTTCTATGAAATCTGTGTTCAGGTAAAGTTTTTAGCCTAAATAAAATAAAATCAATTAAGAAAAATAAAATAAATTAATTAGAGAGGGGAAAATTTAGCAAAAATAGAAAACTTGTACTTTTTTTTTCACATTGCAACAAAGTTTTATTTCGTTTTTCATTGTTCAGACTTTAAACTTATCTGCATTAATTTAATAAATGATTAAATAAAAACATTAGTTTTATTGTTTGACCCTCAGCTCTGCACAGATATATTTATCATTTATATATTTCAATGCAATATTATTATAATATTATTTATTTATATACTTTATAAATGTTTTTTCACCTTCAGTGATTTTTAGAGACTCTGTTCCATTTTTTTTCTATACAAAAAATGTTTATTTTTAGATATTTATGCCTTTTTATGTTTGAAGTAAATATTAAATTAATTTAATTAAAAAATAAACCAATGAAGATCTTTATTTATTATTTTTTTATGCAGCTAAAAAGTTATTTATATGTTTTTTGGGAGGTTTTAATTAAAGGATTTTGCCAGAAGCTTCACTAATTTGCTGCTTTGACACCTTAGAAAGCTGCAGCTTTAACCACAATAAAAACATTTAAAAATATCCATCCTGAAGAAAAGAAATTCTTTAATTCATTTTAAAATAAGAGCTTTAAAACTGTGCATGTCGGCGTCCATTCATGCATTATTATTTAATAGCATGAGAAGGAAATGGGGTCAACAGGAAGCCTCCTGTGAAAGAAGCTGCTGCAGGTTTCTGCTCCTCTCCATCGTTAGCGTATCAGAGGCTGTTTAGCATCATTTCCTGAATGTCTGAACTTTTCTGTCAGAAGGAACAGATGTGACAGGGAATGAGAGGTGATTTTATTTGGCTGATATGCGAGTAGATCAACCTCAGCGGGCTGTCTGAGGCGCACCGACCCCTTCAGGTTCATCATCATTAACACTCCCACTGACAGAGCCTAACAGCTCGTGTCACATCATGTAATCTCCGTGTATTTGTTTATGATGGAGGACTGTAAACACCAGGACGGGCTGTCAGGCCGTTTAAAGATGAGAACCCCCCCCCCCCGAAGGGTCCAAAGGCCCAACAGGGAGGCTGATGGGAGGAGAACCGAAGAACATTTCTCTAAACGTTGCTTAAAAAGCAGGAAACCAGACATCAGTGTGTCTGAATTAGATGGGAAAGGTTCCATAACAGGTCAAAGGTCAGGCATACATGTTTTTATATTTAATATGTGCATCATCTCCACCTCTGGTTCTGATAAACAATCTAGAAACAAGCAAAAATGTCTTAAATTAAGGTATTTACCCTTAATTTGAGCAGGTAAATGAGATGATTTGCCAATGGAATGAGTATTTTTACTCTTAAACGATATTTGGATAAAATGCACTTGAAATAAGACAATTCAATTGTTTTTTCTTGTTTTAAGTGTAAATTGTCTTGTTCTATTGGAAAAATGTCTCTTTTTCCTCCTCAATCCAAGAACAAATGCACTTATTTAAAGAAAAAAACCACTTATCTAGATTTAGATTTTTTTCCAGTGAATAATCTGAAATCTGAATAAACATGGCAGCTAAACTGGAATAAAATCTGACTTATTCTGAGTTTTAAAGTACATTTAAATATATTTTAAACTGTAGAAAATATGAGCAGGGAGGTTTTTCAAAAACATCAACACCTGGAGGGGAAGTGGTAATTTCCCACTGCTGTAAGAGTCAGTGAAGCCAGCACAGGTTTAGTTGAATTAAGAAACTTTAGATAAATAAAATACTTCAAATGTTGTTTGATCTGAATCTTTAGCATCTAAATGCTAAAAATTCTGCAACTGATCTATTGTTAAATTATTTATATCTATTCATACAGAATAAAGGAAATTGTGATATTATAGTTTTTATTTAACAGATTAAATAATTAATATAAGATAGACAAAACATTTAAAATCAAAACTTTGTTTACATCCTTTATTTTTATTTATTAATCAAGTTCTCTTTTTCATGTCTGTTGAGTGATTTAAAATATCAGGGTAAAATGTTAGTTTTTAAAAACTTTTTTGCAGTAAAACAAGCAGAGAAAGAGAAATCAGAAGGTTTTAGATCAAATAAAAATAATAAATAAAACATGAATCTGAAAAATAATAATAATTAACAGAGCAATTAAATAAACGGAGCAATTTAAAAGTAAAAATAAAAATAAAACACAATTCTTTAAGTTTTTGTTAGAAATAAAATTGTATTTTTCATTTTCTGATATTATATATAGTTTATGAAATTATTACCATAAATATAACAATACGGAAGAGGATTAGGGCCACTGAAAAAAAAAAAGAAAAGTTAACTGATTTTTTAATTTTATTTCAGTTTAATATGGGAAAAAAGTCAGAATTCTGACTTTAATCTCAAAATTCTGAGAATAAAGTGTTAGATTAAAGTCAGCATTTTAAGAGTAAAGTCAGAATTCTGACTTTTTTCACAGAATTCTGACTTTAATCTAAGAATTCTGACTTATTTTATTGTCAGAATTCAGAGAAAAAAATTCAGGATTCTGACTTTTTTCTCATATTAAACTGAAATAAAATTTAAAAAATCAGTTAACTTTTCTTTTTTTTTTTGAGTGGCCCTAATCCTCTTCCGTATAACCATAAATTTTGTTTTAATTTTAATGTTTTTCTCTGTCAAAAAGTCCCTGGAGACTTTAAATAACCTCCAGTCGTTTCCAAACAGGCGGCTTTTTGTTTATAATTTAGAATAACTTTTTTTCAAGTTTTCAATATATTAATATTTAGAGCAAAATGTGTAAAATAAAAAACATACAAACCCATTCAAATGTTTTCATTTTTAGAAACAATGCATCCACTTTTAAATGTGTTATTTTTGTTGAAATGTTTGTTTAAATCTGTCAATTAAAAGCTGTTATAATAAAGCGACTCTTCAGATATTTATTAAGGTTTTATAAAGAAGCATTTTTATTTTAATACGTGAAACAGCTGCGCTTCACTGCAGAAGTTTAAAAGCAGAAGAGCATAACCCCCCTCCCATTGCCTGACCCCCTCCCCTCCCTTAAATAACTTCCTGCTGCTCGTTGTTGCGTTTTAACGAGCGCCTCTTTGAGCGAAGCAGAAAGAAACATTATTCTAAATATTTCATGTCCCCATTATTCCAGATGAGTGGACGTGTTGTAATGTGCCATAATATTTTAGCTTTTTTTAAACTGCTGTCGGAGTAGTTGTGAGTATTTGCAAACACCTGGATAATAACTGAGGATTTATGAATGAATGGCTGCAGATAAGAGAAGCTTTATGCAGCTGCTTTGGAACGTCGGATGTTTTGACACACTTTTTACTTTCTTGTCTGCTTAATGTGGAGTTAAAATCCCACGAAGCGTTTAGTGTTTGCCAAAGCAGAAAGGTTAAACGAGTGTTTTCCCTGCAGCCGAGCGGTTTTGACAGGTCGGTTGGGTTTTTGTTGCTTCTAGCTTCCTGGTTGTTCTTCCTGCTGACGGCGGCGGTGGACGATGCGGTTTGGCAGCGTCTGACGGCCTTGAACCCTCCGTGACCTCTCTAAAGGGCATGGGCTTTAGCCGTGGCCAGGACGCAGTAAAAACTGTCCTGCAGTATTTTCAAACAAACACCGCCGCCCTGACCCGGCTGGCGGTGGCGCTCGCTCCCGCCCCGCCTCCCGCTGAAGATCGCGTGCAGAATCCAGGCAACGGCGAGCGAGCTGAGGGAGCGCTCGGCGCTGCTGCACACCCAGGCGGCGTGACCTTCCCCTTCCCTTCGCCAAACAGCTCAGCGACTCACCGAGCATGCCCAGTAGGAGCCACAGTGTTTCGTGACAACACTAATAGTCTGCATGGATCACTGGCACGCAGAGTCACTTCTAATTAGAATTATCTCAATCTTCGCCGGGATCTCATGTTGGGTTTTCTCCTCTGCTGCGGAACGCCGCCTCCCCAGTGGTCGGTTTGGCTGCCAGTCAGGAGGCCGGCTCCGCCCCTTGCTCCGCCTCCTAACCTCTCCCCGCTCTCTGCTCCATCTTCCCAGTTTTTTTCCTAAACAGGAGGGACATCCCGACCCGCGCTTCATCCTCACCTCGTGGCTTCACGCTCCGTTGCCTATGCATGCTTCTATTCCCTCCCACAACCATCTGCTATCGGGCTTTTCGCAGAAACAACTCTACAGTTTCCCCGAGACGTCGGCCATTCCAACCCACTTTCTCCTTCTGACTGGGAGCAGAACATGACGGGTGTCGCCCTGAAACAGCTGTGATTAAAGTCGCTGCCTCATCGTAGACGCCTTTGCGTCCTCGGTTTCCTTTGCTAACGAGGAGAATAAAATCCGTCCTTTCTCTAAATCACTTCCTCCTGGTCTCTTTGTTCCGATTTAATCCTCGTTTCCATCCCTGACACTTCCCTCTGAAAGGAACAAAAAGGACACAATAGCTTGGAGCTCCACGGTTCAGGCTTTTACAAACACCAGGTCAGAGGTTGGACAGGCATAAAGACAATAGGTGCTCAAGGGTTTGACTTTGACGCATCAATAAAACCCTTCTTATCTTCAAGTAGTTGAGCTGTCAGGAGTCCTTCAGATACTTTAGAGAGTAAATAATAGTTAAAGTTTGTGAGTTTAATCCCCCTAAGAGGCAGACAGAGTTCAGAGGGGAAGGTGAGACCGGATTTAAGCCGTGCCCTGACAGGCTGACAGACGGGCCGGGGAGGCCGTCACAGATCCGACAGACGGGGAGGGAAGACGGAAGAGACAGAAACGAGAGGAAAACATCAAGGCGGACGGTCGGTCAGTCAGTCACAGGGACGGAAAGACGGACAGGTGTGTGAGCTGAACAGACCGGACAACTGGACGTGTTAGGAGCCTCTCAAAGTGCGTTTAGGGCTCTGTCAGGGTGCACTTTGTGCATTTTTCTGTTTGCACTGGAAAAACTATCTAGAAATAAGTAAAAAAAGCTTAAATTTAGTGTATTTACCCTTAATTTAAGCAGGTAAATGAGACAGTTTGCCAACTGAATGAGTATTTTTACTCTTAAAATAAGATAATTAGATAATATGGACTTGAAATAAGACAATGCAATTGTGTTTTCTTATTTTAAATCCAAATGTTCTTTCTCCATTGTCAAAAAATGTCTCTTTTCCGTCCTCAATCCACGAACAAATGCACTTATTGTAAGAAAATATGATCTAGATTTAATTTGTTCCAGTGTGGATAGTAAAACCAAACATCTGCATCATGTCTAATATTAATGTCACAGACCTGCAGCAGATAAACTGTCGTCCTTTCAGACGTTTCTTCTTCCAATCATCCAACCTGATGATACACTGCAAAAACGATCTGGAAATGAGTAAAAATGTCATAAAATTTGTGTATTTAGCATAATTCAAGCAAGTAAATAATAAGATTTGCCAATGGAATGAGTATTTTTACTCTTAAAATAAGATAATTAGATAATATCCACTTGAAATAAGACAACACTATTGTATCACTTAACTGCTTAATTCAAGAAAGAAATGCTCTTTTTTAAATAAAAATAAACTTCAATTTCTCTTTCGATTTCAATTGTTTGCAGTGTAGAGCTGTCAGCTCTGCCATCATCTGCTGAACTTAGCCTCCTTCATCCCTTAAACACGTCCGGATGTTGTTTGCCGAAGCATTTTGGTCTGAAAGTTGCATGAAAGACAAACGAATCAAACTTCTCAGGTGTTTTATTCCTTAGATCCAGTTTTTATAGATTTGTATGGCACTAATGTTGCCTTTGGTTTCTGAAGCCATTTGTTACTAAATACGCTGTAAAAAGAATCTTTTCTTAAAATAAGTGCAGTTGTTCTTGGATTGAGGAAGTAAAAGAGACATTTTTCCAATGCACTTTTCCTATTTTATGTGTAAATTGTCTTGTTCCATTGGCAAAATGTCTTTTTTACCTTCTCAATTCAAGAACAGTTTTGTTTTCAGTGTAAAGAGGGAAAAGATTAAGCTCTGGGTAAGGGGACATAGTATCTGGTTGTTTGAGGTATTTTTCATGGTTCGATCAGTAAAGCTGAGCTGTGGGGAGGTGGGAACTTTGCTCTTACATTGTTCTCCTATTTTAAAGAACATTTACAGGCCTAAACAAAAGGATGAAGCCTATATTGTTGAGTAATTGTTAGCGTAGACCATCCCTGACTTTTGATTTAAATCTGTGTAGGGTTTGATTAAAGTCGTATTTATATGTCAAATCATTCTGGCTTAAATATGTATATAAATGTATTCTTTATCAATTATTGTCCCCAATTTTGTGTTAAAATCTGTGTTTTTTCCGTTATCTTCTGCAGGCCAGTTAGTTCTACGTCAGCCTGAACACCTAAATTCGGCCAATCATATATCAACGGTCATCTGTCAATCAAATGTTTTCGGTCATAGCATCTTGATTCATGTGTCGCAGCTAATATACGCAGCGGTTGAAACCAGAATCCTTTCCTTTCCCATTGAGTTGCGTCCCAGTGTTCACGGGGATGGACGTCTGTGTCTTCGGCAGGCGTAGAGCTAACAGAACTGGCAGCGTTGCGAGGCAAGGGCTCAAACATGTACGGCTGGAAGCCTTCTACACCAAACCAAGCTTCTGCCGCCCTGGCGTCCTCTTCCACAACATCTTCGTCCCCGCTTTCCTCCTCTAAATAAAAAATGGATGACGGAGGAGACTCATCCACGACCTCCGACACTAAACTCTCCTCCTCTTGCATGTTTCCTCTGTCCATAGCGTTCCTTGACAGCGTCGTTTCTAAGTCACCAATTTAGTGCTACTTGGTCCCAATGGAATTTCCCATTGGGAACCTGCTAGCACTAAGATGCTAACTGGTTAGCAAGATGCAACCAACCAAACTTGCTTGCGAACCTCCAGCAACAACAATCCCGCTCCGTTGATAGTCGACCAATCACATTCACTTTATTCACTCAGGTAAAATGGGGAACTAGTCGGGGGAATTCGGAAATGAAACGGCTGGAAAAGCCGATTCCCTACGATTTTAAGGATCTGTGACTGAAAAAGCAATTCTCCAGTCGTGCGAGAACTTTTTGATTGGGCGTAGTGTATGGTTTAGTGTACAGGGGGTAACGAGGGGCGATCAGCCTCTAACGACCCCCCCCCCATCAAAAATCGTGAGGTCGGGAGAAAATGAAACATATTTGAAATTCAGTCGGCCGTCCTAAGGTGGTGGTGGACGAATCTCTCAGTGGGCAAACAAGGATTCTTCTTCTTCTTCCTCTCAGATGTAAACCCAGCAGCATGGCGGGGGGGCAGTGAGTGAAATGGAGTTCTTCCTGTCAAACTGACAGACTGTAGTAGCCACGTTAGCTCAGCCATGTCTTTGTCCAAATACGTCGTCTCCTTTTCTTTTTAGGGCTTTCAGCACTAAATTACCCAAATATCCAAGGCAGCGCGTTTCACTCTAGTGAGCTTCATATTCCTCTGCTACTGGTTTGGCTTCCAGATAGATGAGTCTGAGTAGCGCCATCTCACTGCGGAGCTGAGACCCACCTGGTTTTAGACGTACAGTGTGAGCAGGTAGATCGCATCAGAGCGTCTGGTCACTCAGTGTGAGAACAAACATGGTGAGCTGAGAACTTTTAAACCCTGAGGTTTCATCGTACAGTTTGAGCTGTAGCTTTAAAGTGTTCGCCCGGCTTTAGGCTAATTAATCGGAACATTTTCCTCAGTTGAAGCATTTAGCATGCTGTGGTGAGTTTCTCTTCATCAGTGCAGTATCTTCACAGACCTTGAGATTAAGAATTCATTTCATTAGGATGTTGCTGCAGTGTTTGAGGAAAGGTTGAGTGGATGCAGTAGCATTAGCATGTATATTCCAGGAAGAAGATGGAAGAAAAATGTTTGTTTCACCAGAAAAACAATCTACAAATAAAAAAATACATGTAAATTAAGTGTATTTACTCTTAATTTGAGCAGGTAAATTAGATAGTTTGCCAATGGAATTAGTATTTCTACTCTTAAAATAAAATAGTTAGATAATATGCACTTGAAATAAGACAATGTAATTGAGTTTTCTTGTATTAAATGTAAATTCTCTTTTTCCATTGGCAAAATGTCTCTTTTACCTCCTCAATCTAAAAATAAATGCATTTAATTTAAGGAAAAAAAGACTTTTCTAGATTTCGACTGCAAAAATGATCTAGAAATAAGTCAACATTTCCTAAATTAAGTGTATTTGCCTTTAATTTGAGCAGGTAAATAAGATTATTTGCCAACAGAATGAGCATTTTTACTCTTAAAATAAGATAATTAGATCATATCTATTTGAAATAAGACAATGCAATTGTTTTTTTCTTATTTTAAATGTAAATTGTCTTGTTCTATTGGCAAAATGTCTCATTTACCTCCTCAATTCAAGAAAAAATGCACTGATTTTAAGAAAAAATTGCTTATCTAGATTTCCATTTTTTCCAGTGTATATTTTGATTTTTTCCAGTGAATGCATGTCTGTTATATATATATATATATATATATATATATATATATATATATATATATATATATATATATATATTTTATAAATTAGAAGAAATTCACCTATCTTTTTTTGGAATATTCAACAAAAAAAGGAAATTATTATACTTTTAAAGTGCTTCTCATTAGTAAAGTTTCATGACAGTCTTAATTTTTCCTATTTCATCTGTTTTTAACACTTTTAACAACAAGGTTTAGTGAAAAATGGTGTAAATAACCCAAAGTTTAATATTTTCAGCAGGTAGTCTTCATCAGTCGTAGGAAGTGGCGTGACAGAGGAGCTGCAGGAAGGTAGTGTGACAGCAGAGGAGAGGAGGCAGCGGGACGTGTGAGGAAGAGGGGGAGGATGGTAGAGAGTGAGGCAGAGGGGGAGGATGAAGAACCAACATGGGGAGGGACAGGAGAAAGGAAAGAGTAGAAAGAGACTGAAAAAGCAGAGGAAAAGTGAGCGGATGATGTGAAATGAGGTCAGAGCGAGGTGGAACCAAACGGATCCAGGGTTAATTTTAGAAATCGTCTGAAATCGGTTAAATTTACCAAACAGATTATTTCTGATCTGATGGAGAAACAGCTGCAGGAAAACAGATCCAATGAGGACCGAAGCCATGTTTATAAATGCTGCTTTCCTTTTCCCATCTGATCCCAGCTTTATTTTATTCATTTTGTCGTATGTTTAGATTTATTTTCCTTTATCAGATAAAGGTTTCTGAGAAAAATCTATGGAGTTAAAACTGAAGTTTCTAATTTAAAACTTTTCTTTCACTGAAGCAGATTTAATTAATGGGAAATCTTCATCTGCAGCATCATTTTGGGAAAACAAGCTCAGGCGGTGTTTTAAAGCTAAGGCTGATTTAAATGACAGATTTCACACTGCAAAAAATCTAAGTCTAGATAAGTCATTTTTTCTTAAAATAAGTGCATTTGTTCTTGAATTGAGGAGATAAAAGAGACATTTTGCAAATGGAAGAAGACAATTTACACTTAAAATAACAAAAAACCAATTGCTTTGTCTTATTTCAAGTGCATATTATCTAATTATCTTATTTTAAGAGTAAAATTACTCATTCCATTGGCAAACTATCTCATTTACCTACTCCAATTAAGGGTGATTACAGTTAATTTAAGAAATTTTTACTTATTTCTAGATCGTTTTTGCAGTGCAAAACTGCTATCACTGCAAAAAATCAAAATCTAGATAAGTTATTTTTTCTTAAAATAAGTGCATTTGTTCTTGAATTAAGGAGGTAAAAGAGACATTTTTCCAATGGAACAAGACAATTTACACTTAAAATAAGAAAAAAACAATTGCGTTGTGTTATTACTAGTGCATTTGATCTAATTATCTTATTTTAAAAGTAAAATTACTCATTCCATTGGCAAACTTTGTCATTTACCTACTGAAATTAAGGGTTAATACACTTAATTTATGACATTTTTTACTTATTTCTAGATCGTTTTCCCAGTGTGTACATTTCAAATAAGAAAAAACAACTGCATGTCTCTCATTTCAAGGGCATAATATCTAATTATCTTATTTTAAGGTAATAATGCTCATTCTATTGGCACATCATTTTATTTTGCTCCTCCTATTGAGGGTAAATACACTTAATTTAAGACATTTTTTCAAATTTTCTCTCGTTTTTGCAGTGTATCCAGGATGCTTTCCCTGCAGCCTTGCTTTGTGATGCTGGGAGGGGGGCTATCATGGTATGGGCTGTATCAGTGCTTTGGGCAAAGCTTGGTTTAATTTCTAATTTGGCTGCAATAAAGCAGAAATGTGTGGGATAGATTCAGCAGGAACAGTTCCTGCCTTGGAGGCTGATTCACATGCGGCAGCCTGACGCCGTTTTTGGCTCCGTTACCGAGAACATGGCTGAGGAAGAGGAGGGTCGTGGTGCTGAAGACAGTGGCCGGGGGAGGCTCAGCAAAGAGCGACAGGATGGGAGCTAAAGAGGCCAGACAGCAGCAATCAGAGGAGGAGGTGAAGCCTCCTTCCTCCCCCATGACTCCCACTCCCCACCCGCCCCGGGTGCTGATGGGAACTTCTGACCAGCCAATAAAAACCCTCCGAATCCACCAATGAGCGGCTGGGCTCCACCACCCCTCCCTCCGCTCCCAGTTTTCCAGGCCCGTTGCGTGACCAGTAATCACCAGGTTGTGCGAAGCGCCTCGCCGCCATCCGCCGCCGCGGGACATGTGAGATCAGCTGACCCCCTTAGCGTGGCCCGTGCTGAATAATACAGGAGCCACGGCGAGGAGGCTGAGGGAGCTTTGTCTCTAAAACGTGACGAGAGCCTCTGCGAGGTCAAAGGTCGAACCGCAGACATTGAATTAAATCAAATTAGAATTTACTAAAAACACAGAGTCAAAAACTCAGAGTTTAGATTTAATTTCATAGAAAAGGTTCAATTAAAACAAGCTGCTGTTCTATGATGTTCCTGATTTCACAGTAGGAAGCTGTTGGTGAACAACCGCATTTTTATTTTTATTTAAATATCTCAGATATTCAAATGTTTTGGTTTAGAAAACAGAAACTCATTTCATTCGGTTTGCAGGACAGTGATTGTTTCTGAGAGAAACTTTGAGTTTGGTGCAGATTAACAGGGAAAGAATGACGATCTAGATCCGGGTCAAATAGATCTGCAGAAGGCAGACAGAGGCCTAAAATTTAATTGCACTGGAAAATTATAATCTAAATAAATCATTTTTTTCTTAAAATAAGTGCATTTGTTCTTGAATTGAGGCAAAAGAGACATTTTGCCAATGAAACAAGAAAATCTATGTTTAAAATAGGAAAACACAATTTCATTGTCTTATTTCAAGTGCATATTATCTAATTATGTTATTTTAAGAGTAAAAATACTAATTCCTGGCAAACTATCTAATTTACCTGCTCAAATTAAGGGTAAATACAGTTAATTTAAGACATTTTTACTTATTTTTAGATCGTTTCCCAGAGTGAGAGGCAAGACAAAATGACTTTATTGAACTTCAACTAATACACTGCAAAAATGATCTCAAAATGAGTAAAAATGTCTTAAATCAAATGTATTTACCTTTAATTTGAGCAGGTAAATAAGATGATTTGCCAATGGAATGAGTATTTTTACTCTTAAAATAAGCTATCTAGATATTCTGCACTTGAAATAAGACAATTCAATTGTTTTTTTCCTGTTTAAAGTGTAAATTGTCTTGTTCCATTGGCAAAGTGTCTCACTTCAATCCTTAATTCAAGAAAAAATGACTTATTTTTTGCAGTGTACCAACACCTAAATTCAGGTGACATGAAGGAAGGAACCATGAAAAGTGATTATTAAGAAAAAGAAGCAACATTAATATTAATACAAACCTACACTAAAACAATAAATATACACCCAAAGTAATATTTACATACAAACCAATACAATTGAAGAAATCTAAAGTCAATCCCAAAATCCCATCAAATTTAACACAACTTATCTAAAACTCCCCTCCTGATCATTTTGGTTTGCTCCAAGTGCATTGCAGCACCTGGAGCACTTATACTTTTTTTCTGCCACGCCCTGCTGAGGAACCAAACCAGGAAAAGGTAAGTACTTTAATTTAACATAAATAGAAACTAAGGAAAAATATTTGACATTAATGTTTACACTTTCCTTCCACTGGAAGGGTGGCCAGTCCTTCTGCTTCACAATGCCAAAAATGTCCAAACAAAACTGCAGTAAATGACTCAAACAACCCAACTATTTGTTCAAACTTAGTACTGCATAACAAAAAAAACAATAATCATGTTTCATGGGGTAACGGGACTCCTGGTCCCCATTACAAGAAGGTTGAGGAAGCATCAACTTTTTTACAGGATGTGGAAAAATGCATGCAGCCGATCCTTTTACTGTATGTTTCAATTTTCATGTTTTCTAAACTAAAACCAGGCTTTGTTGGGCTGCTGGATAAAACCTGGAACTAAACGCTATTTCTGACATTTTGAATTGAAAAAGCTTCCTGGATGGGAAGAGAAACGTCTTCAAACTTGGAAACAAAGTTCAGTGGATTGATTTTAACTTTTAAGGTCTGATATTGCAGAAATAAATTTACACAAAAATGTAAAAATGTACACATAAAGATGGCATCTTTAAGCTCCATTTTTACATAATTTATCTACAGAAAATGATTTAGGATGTAATTGTTTAAAAATTTTGGATAGGATTTGAAAACTAAACATAATAAAAGTGTTTTGGTGTTTTATTTGTAAATATTTCAGCAAAACCCCCACTATTAGCAGAAATGGAAATAAAGATTATTTATGGTCAAAGGAAGACCACAGACACTTTACTTTGTTTACTTTCTCCAGGGAGTGAAAACAAGATAAACATGCTGATATAATCCGTAAGACAAGCTAAAAACATATAAATTATCATTACATGATATTAAGGAGCAATTAACTTTCTTTGTAAGTTTGACTCCAGGCTTATATTTATTGATTCCTTATGAACTAAGACTGTTATTTATATCTGCATTGGTTTACTGAGGTCAGTAATCCAGATAAAACATTTTAAAGTCGTAGGAAAGCGGCCATTCCAACTGTTGCATTTCTGAATTCTCCCGAGTGGTGCCCGACTTTACACGAGTGAATAAAGTGAATGTGATTGGTCGATTATCAATGGAGCAGGATTGTTGTTGCGGAAGGTTCGCAAGCAAGTTTGGTTGGTCGCATCTTGCTAACTAGTTAGCATCTTAGTGCTAGCAGGTTCCCAATGGGAAATTCCATTGGGACCAAGTAGCACTAAATTGGTGACTTAGAAACGACGCTGTCAAGGAACGCTATGGACAGAGGAAACATGCAAGAGGAGGAGAGTTTAGTGTCGGAGGTCGTGGATGAGTCTCCTCCGTCATCCATTTTTTATTTAGAGGAGGAAAGCGGGGACGAAGATGTTGTGGAAGAGGACGCCAGGGCGGCAGAAGCTTGGTTTGGTGTAGAAGGCTTCCAGCCGTCCATGTTTGAGCCCTTGCCTCGCAACGCTGCCAGTTCTGTTAGCTCTACGCCTGCCGAAGACACAGACGTCCATCCCCGTGAACACTGGGACGCAACTCAATGGGAAAGGAAAGGATTCTGGTTTCAACCGTTGCGTATATTAGCTGCAACACATGAATCAAGATGCTATGACCGAAAACATTTGATTGACAGATGACCTTCGATATATGATTGGCTGAATTTAGGTGTTCAGGCTGACGTAGAACTAACTGGCCTGCAGAAGATAATGAGAAGAAAACACAGATTTTAAGAATTTTTTTTTTTATTTTAAATACAATTTTTTGGGCCAATATGGTCTGATTAAGAGTATACCTTTATACATGTTTAAGCCAGCAGGATTTGACTTCCTTATTATTTTAAAAACATTTTTCAGCTTTCCGTCTTTAAAAATGTTGTGAACTCGTAAAACCAGCTGGTTAACGTCTGATCAAGGTTTCCTCCTTCATGGGTTTATGGGCTCAGAAGAGTCTGGGGCTGATACGTTAAAGGTGACCGCCATATTGCGAGTGGCATCCAAATAAATCACATTAATACGGTGAAAAATGGTTCTGATCCAAGACTTAAATGGAAAAGCTGCGTGTTTCTCCTGACAAATAGAAATTATAAGACCCATAAGCCGTGGGGGTGGGGGGGGGGGGTGTAAATATGTCTTTCAAAATGAAATGCTGCCATCTTTCTTTTTTCAGTGGTCACTATATTTACAAAAATGATAAATATTAAAAAGGCTAAATATGAAAATGCAGTGATTCAATTATAGGATGGATCCTCTCCTTTATTAGATGTAATAGTTTAAATTATATATTTCAATAAGAGTAATTTTGTTATAAAATACAGTAATTATTGCAAAGATTAAATTAATCAGCTTTGTTTGTTTCTTGATCAAGAGTTAATGAATGAAGCTGAGCTCATATAAGACTTTAAAGTAAATAAAAATAACCAGATCTTCCTCAAAGAAAAGACAAAAACGATTTTTATTAGAGTTAAAAGTGTCGTTGATTTATAAAAACCCAACATGGCTGTTTAAAGGAACTGATGCGACAAAAAAAGCAGAAAAACTTAATCAGCATCAAGTGAAACTAAATCATTTATAATGTTATTATCACTATCAGTATCATTTATAATTTAGTACATTTTTTATTTTGATAGAAATACCAGTTTCTACTTTCAGTTCAAATGCTCAGAATGCACTGCAAAAAATGGAAATCTAATTTAGCAATTTTTACTTAAAATAAGTGCATTTTCTCTCTAATTGAGGACGAAAGTGAAACACTTTGCCAGTGGAACAAAAAAATTTACATTTAAAATGAGAAAAAACAATTGCATTGTCTTAATTCAAGTTCATATTATCTACTTATCTTAGTTTAAGACAAAAGATACTAATTTCATTGGCAAATCATCATATTTACCTACTCAAATTAAGGGTAAATACACTTAATTTAAGAATTTTTTTTTATTTCTAGATCGGTTTTGCAGTGTGGTATTATCTGATTGAATATTTCTTCTACTGTCTTAATATCTAAAAATAATTCCAACAATACAGCTGAGTAACAGATGCTAATGCAAACATGTGCTTGTATTCTGTAGAATTAACATGTTTTCTACATGTGCATTTTATGTAAAAATCATATTTTCCTTGTAGAAAATCAACTCGCATAAAAGAAAGCAATAAAATCCAATGTTTAACCTACATTTGCAGGATGTCTGCTGGCTGGATAATCCTGCCGTCCCTGCGGCTTGTTGTCCTTAAAGCCATCAGCTCCATGCTCAAAGCGTGGGACGCTGTGGAGGACAAGCAGATAATTGGGCAGGAAAAGAAAACCCCCTGTGGTGACTAGAGGCTGGAAACCTCACGTCTCCTTTCCTCACTTAAGCTTGGTGCAATCTGAGACGATGCTTCCTGTTTCAGCTTATAATCTGAGACGTGTAACTAAATAATCGGTGTTAATGTAAACTGTTTCAGAAATGTGGAGAAGAATCTGAAGCAATGCATTGTTGCTGCAGAGAAAGAAGTCTAATCTGAGGTTTGTTTATTTTTCTAGTAATGTGATTCTGTCATACAGCAGCTTTCAGCAGGAGACACGTCTCTGTTTTGGGTGATTAAATAAATCTTATGTTCCATCTACAGGTGCTGGTCATAAAATTAGAATATCATGAAAAAGTAGATTGATTTCAGTAATTCCATTTAAAAAGTGAAACTTGTATATTATATTCATACATTACATACAAACTCATATATTTCAGATGTTTATTTTGTTTAATTTTGATGATTACAAATGACAACAAATGAAAATCTCAAATTCATCATATCAGAAAATTAGAATATTATGAAAAGGTTCAAAATTGATGGCCCCTGGTGCCACACTCTAATCAGCTAATTAACTCAAACCACCTGCAAAAGCCTTTAAATGGTCTTTCAGTCTAGTTCTATAGGCTACACAATCATGGGGAAGACTGCTGACTTGACAGTTGTCCAAAAGACGACCATCGACACCTTGCACAAGGAGGGCAAGACACAAAAGGTCATCGCTAAAGAGGCTGGCTGTTCACAGAGCTCAGTGTCCAAGCACATTAATAGAGAGGCGAAGGGAAGGAAAAGATGTGGTCGAAAAAAGTGTACAAGCAAGAGAGATAACCGCACCCTGGAGAGGATTGTGAAACAAAACCCCTTCAAAAATGTGGGGGAGATTCACAAAGAGTGGACTGCAGCTGGAGTGAGTGCTTCAAGAACCACCACACACAGACGTATGAAAGACATGGGTTTCTGCTGTCGCATTCCTTGTGTCAAGCCACTCTTGAACCACAGACAGCGTCAGAAGCGTCTAAAGAGAAACAGGACTGGACTGCTGGTGAGTGGTCCAAAGTCATGTTCTCTGATGAAAGTAAATTTTGCATTTCCTTTGGAAATCAAGGTCCCAGAGTCTGGAGGAAAAGAAGAGAGGCACTTCATCCACGTTGCTTGAAGTCCAGTGTAAAGTTTCCACAGTCAGTGATGGTTTGGGGTGCCATGTCATCTGCTGGTGTTGGTCCATTGTGTTTTCTGAGGTCCAGGGTCAACGCAGCCACATACCAGGAAGTTTTAGAGCACTTCATGCTTCCTGCAGCTGACCAACTTTTTGGAGATGCAGATTTCATTTTCCAACAGGACTTGGCACCTGCACACAGTGCCAAAGCTACCAGTACCTGGTTGAAGGACCATGGTATCCCTGTTCTTAATTGGCCAGCAAACTCTCCTGACCTTAACCCCATAGAAAATCTATGGGGTATTGTGAAGAAGAAGATGCAATACACCAGACCCAACAATTCAGAAGAGCTAAAAGCCACTATTAGAGCAACCTGGGCTATCATAACACCTGAGCAGTGCCACAGACTGATCGACTCCATGCCACGCCGCATTGCTGCAGTAATACAGGCCAAAGGAGGCCCAACTAAATACTGAGTGCTGTACATGCTCATACTTTTCATGTTCATACTTTTCAGTTGGCCAACATTTCTATAAATCCTTTGTTTTTATTGGTCTTCAGTAATATTCTAATTTTCTGATATGATGAATTTGAGATTTTCATTTGTTGTCATTTGTAATCATCAAAATTAAACAAAATAAACATCTGAAATATATGAGTTTGTATGTAATGTATGAATATAATATACAAGTTTCACTTTTTAAATGGAATTACTGAAATCAATCTACTTTTTCATGATATTCTAATTTTATGACCAGCACCTGTACTGAAAAGCCAGAAACAAGTTTCTCTAAACTTACCCACAGAGCCAGAAGTGGAGGCCTTAATCTGCTGCTCGGCTGTCCTCCATAAGCTCCTCGGCTTCATGCCGTCCGCCAGATGTGGAGGCCGCTGTAGGGATTGGTTTCCATCCATCTGATGGTGGGCCTTAATGAGCAGAGGCGATCTGAACTGCCTGAACGACACAGAGGTTAAAATGGAGCACCGCTTATAAAACAAGGAGCGGAGATAGGAATCCAAACCTAGATGGTGGTGAACGGACGTCTGCTATGCAAACCACCAATGGTGAATTAAATAAAATAAACTATTGTAGGTGGAAAAAAGTATTCAACTATTTGCTTCAGTTAAATAAACGGATATCGATAGATTTCACTCAGTTGATACTTTACTCATATCTTTGCAAAGAGAGAACAGTTCATCATGCGGCCCTTATTACGGTAATCAGCCCTGTTCTGCCTGAGCAGCGTTCGTTCCTCTTTACTTACAATAATGGAGAGTAGTCAGAGTCAAAACAAATTACAGACACTTTGGTTAGACAGTAACGTTATGAATAAACCTGGAGAAAGAATCTGGCTTGTCTTGGGGAGAAGCTCTGTCTGTTCTACAAACACACTCAAACAAGGGATATTTTTCACAACCATAAGGCGCACCGGACTAAAAGGCGCGGGTTTTATATACAGATGTCCTCTACTACGTTTAAATACCTCAACTGCGTATTTAAAAATAGAGCAGGAGCAAAACTGAGTAGGACTGTGCTTTATTCATGTATTTATTAAAAAGTATTAATCAAACCTGGGAGCCGGCCGTGAGACAGACACATCGCTGATGACACAGAGTGCTGTGATCACTCCTCTGAAACAGTTTATTGACGCATTAATTAACTTAAAATGCAGAAATCTGCCGGCAGAATATGTTGGCTTTTATTATCCTGCTGCCTGCGACCCGGCCAGAGGCTGCTGTTGAAGGGATTCTACTGTCGGCGCACCGCTGGTATGTGGGGGTCTGAGCGCCTCTGACAGAAATAGCATTAGAAGGCAGGATGGTAATCTGGATGAACTGACTGCAATGATTAAGTTTTTAGATGGATTTTTCTCACTTAAAAACATATTAAAACTACTTTATTCCCACTGATCACAGCAAATATAGCTGCAAGGTGTATTTATTACAAAGTACACTGCAAAAACCATCTAGAAATAAGTCAAAATGTCTTAAATGTATTTACCCTTAATTTGAGTAGGTAAATAAGATTAATTGCCAATGGGATGAGGATATTTACTCTTAAAATAAGATAATTAGATAATATGCGCTTGAAATAAGACAATGAATGTGTTTTTTCTTATTTTAACTGCAAATTGTCTTATTCCATTGGCAGAGTGTCTCACTTACACCCTAAATTCAAGAAAAAATTCACTTATTTTAAGAAAAAATGACTTATGAAGATTTAGATTTTTTTCCAGTGTATTAATCATACCTGGGAGTAAGTTAAAACTTTTATAGTGAGTAAAATAGGATCAATTAATATATTTTCAGGTCTGTTAACTAAATTCAGGCACTCATTTATATGAGTGAAGAAACAAAAAGGGCAGAAATGTGCAGAACAAATGTAATAGAATGAGACATGCCTATTATCAAGCATGTCTCTATTACTGCTGTTCAAAATAGATCTATTATTTTCAAGAAGAAAAAAACTTTGAGTCTTGTTTGAACTGATGCAGTTTAAGCTGTGTTTTACTCTCACTATTTTCATTTATATTTTCAGAAACTAGAAGGTGTTACCTTTATTTATTTGCGTATACAAAATAGATGAGGTTTTGGGTTTTAAGAGGTTAAATAAAGATGCTCCAGCAGCCAACAATCTTCTCCTATAGGTTTGGTAGATTCAGAAGGACCCTGAGATGAGTTTGGTGGAGGTATTATAATAGAAACCTGAGAGAACAGGACATGTGGAATGCAGGAATCCTGCAAGGAACAATGGAAACCAGTGAGCTCATATACTGAGGGAAGAGAATGACGCTGAATGCATGTGGGTTAGAGCAGAAGTTCTTGTTTTCCCACTGCAAAAAATGGAAATGTAAGCAATTCATTTTTTCTTATAGTAAGTGCATTTTCCTCTAATTGAAGAAGAAAGTGAGACACTTTGCCCATGGAACAAGACAATTTACATTTAAAATAAGAAAAAACAATTGCATTGTCTTATTTCAAGTTCATAGTATCTAATTATCTTATTTTAAGGGTAAAGATACTAATTTCATTTCATTATCATTGCATTTACCTGTTCAAATTAAGGGTGAATACACTTAATTTAAGAAATTTTTACTTATTTCTAGATCGTTTTTACAGTGCCCCTTTGGGCATTTTGTCTTATGAGCTCCTCTCTCAGCACTGCAAAAACTATCTCAAAATGAATAAAAATGTCTTAAATTAAGGGTATTTACCCTTAATTTGAGCAGGTAATTAAGGTGAGTTGAAAATGGAATGAGTATTTCTAATCTTAAAATAAGGCAGATATTCTGCACTTGAAATAAGACAATGCAATTGTTTTTTCTTATTTTAAGTGTTAATTGTCTTGTTCCGTTGGCAAAGCGTCTCACTTAAATCCTTAATTCAAGAAACAATGACTTATTTAGATTTATTTTTTTGCAGTGAGGGAAAAGTATTGATGTTTGCCCAAAAGTGGAATGTACAATACCTGATTATAAAATAAGAAATATTTCTTTTCATCTTTTTAACTTGAGCATTTAATTCTTTGGCATGTTATTCTTTCAATCTCACATTAAAAAACAACATAAATATATCGCCTGGATGCTACACTGGAAAAAATGGAAATCTAGATAAGTCATTTTTTCTTAAAATAAGTGCATTTGTTCTTGGATTGAGGAGAAAAGAGACATTTTGCCAATAGAACAAGACAATTTACACTTAAAATAAGAAACAACAATTACATTGTCTTATTTTAAGTGCATATTATCTAATTATCTTATTTTAAGAATAAAAATACTCATTCCATTGGCAAACTATCTCATTTACCTACTCAAATTAAGGATAAATACACTTTTACTTATTCCCAGATTGTTTTTCCAGTGTAGTCAGACTGACTCCATTGATTTAACATTGTTTTCATCATTCATGACACCTTTGATGAGCTCAGATGTGGAAAACCAGCTGATCCCAGGCTGCTCTCTACATCCAGTCTGTTCCTCTGCTTGGTTTGTTTGTCAAAGCTGTAGGTGAACACAAACATATAAGAATAACAGATTTTTTAGTGGATAAAAGCATGTTTTATTGTTTAGTTGGGGCCTCACAAAGTAGAACAGATCGCACACTGCAAAAAAACATCTAGAAATAAGTAAAAAATGTCTTAAATTAAGTGTATTTACCCTTAATTTGAGCAGGTAAATAAGATGATTTGCCAATGGAATGAGTATTTTTACTCCTAAAATAAGATAATTAGATAATATACACTTGAAATAAGACAAAGCAATAGTTTTTTTCTTATTTTAAATGTAAATTGTCTTGTTCCATTGGCAAAGTGTCTCACTTACCTCCTCAATTCAAGAAAAAATGCACTTAATTTGAGTAAAAATTACTTATTTAGATTTCCATTTTTTGCAGTGCAGCCCTTTTTTATTTGATTACCTGAGAAATAAAATAGGATTGTGTAGCAATGCACTTGCGGAAACACGTAGATAAATCTCAAAGGGCCTTTCATACACGATACAGTTTGTGCTGAGATGTGGTTCATCGCAGCAGCATGCTAAGCGCTATATTGATCTACCCTGTAGTAGGAAGCAAGTGCTAGCACTAGCCCCGCTAGTTAGGAGAACGGTGCAGCAAAAAATAAGCGTTGGTGCCTGAAATCCCTTCGGTCCAGGGAACAGCCCGGGGAGTCTAGAGTTGTAAAAGAGTGTCGTTTTTAGAGCAACCCCTTCCAGGTCTGTTTGTCTGCTCAGCGTGGAGCATTCCCAGAGTTTGTCTTAGAGTCAATAAATATCAGACAAAAACATCTCCTCCATTTTCCTCTCTGGTCTCCCGCATGATGAAACCGTTTCTATTGGCCGTACATTCAGCATATTTAAACTTTGCTCTGCTTTTGCATGATGTTGATAGATGTTGGAGCTTGGCCTGTTTTCCAGTGTATGTCAATGTCAATGTCAAATTTATTTATATAGCACTTTAAAAACAGGTATAAAACTGCACCAAAGTGCTGTACAGGACAAACAATAGTACTAATTAATAAAAACAGATTATCAAAACACTTCAAGTAAATGCCAAAGAATAAAAATGAGTTTTAAGAAGCGATTTAACATGATCCAGGCTGTGGGCAGATTTAATTTGAAAAGGTAAATTGTTCCATAAAATTGGAGCAACAACTGAAAAAGCCCGATCTCCTTTCCTCTTAAGTCGGGTCCGAGGGACTGTCAGTAATAGCTGATTATTTAATCGCAAGCTTCTGGATACAGAGTGAAATTTTAAAAGGTCCCGAAGATAGGGAGGAGCTAATCCATTTAAAACCTTATAAGTTAATAAAAGAATCTTAAAATCTATTCGATAAAAGACGGGCAGCCAATGTAAAGAGGCCAGTATGGGCCTTATATGGTCACGCTTCCTGGTTCCTGTAAGAAGCCGTGCCGCTGCGTTCTGGATCATTTGAAGTCGCTGCATCTGTGATTTATCCATGCCTCTATATAATGAATTGCAATAACCCAACCGAGATGTGATGAAAGCATGGATACGTCCTTCAAAGTCCTTAAAACAAAAATAAGATTTAATTTTTGCTAAAATCCGCAGGTGATAAAAACCGGATCTAACAACAGAGCTAACTTGTTTGTCTAGCTTTAAACAGCTATCAAAAGTGAAACCAAGATTCCTAGCAGTCCTGTAGTCCTGTTTCTCTGACTGTGACTAACTGGATGTGCTCTCTTCATCCTCTGACATGGGAGCTGGCTCGGAGCTCGTCTGCCTGGCTGTGTGTTTCCTGGACGGGGCCGCCTGTGGAGCTGGTTGCCTTTTGTATCTATGCTTCTTTTTCTATGTCTGCTTCTGTCTCCTTGAACCCCAGTGGGCCTCAGCAGATGGCCGCTCACACTGAGCCTGGTTCTGCTGGAGGTTTCTTCCTGTTCAAAGGGAGTTTTTCCTCTCCACTGTCGCTACAAGCATGCTTAGTGTGAGGGATTG